ATTAAAATAGCCTCTTTGTATAACCACCATAGTAAGGTCTTGGTGTAATAAAATAAATGATAATCCTTAACAGTCGCCAGTAATAAATATGAAAATCTCTCCTCCAATTTTAAAGTCGACCAGACTGGCAATAATTTATTTAAAAAATTTTAGTTAAATTACAACGTTTCGGCTGTCATTGCAGCCCTTTTCAAGTAATCTATGAACAATTATATACATATAAATATACTCTTAATGCGCTTAATCATACAAATAATTATAAATTTACAAAAATATATATGTTTACGTTAGTCTTGATCCACGATTTAAGCATCAAGGACATTTGCCTACTAAATTTCTCCGCCATATAATTAAAATAGCCTCTTTGTATAACCACCATAGTAAGGTCTTGGTGTAATAAAATAAATGATAATCCTTAACAGTCGCCAGTAATAAATATGAAAATCTCTCCTCCAATTTTAAAGTCGACCAGACTGGCAATAATTTATTTAAAAAATTTTAGTTAAATTACAACGTTTCGGCTGTCATTGCAGCCCTTTTCAAGTAATCTATGAACAATTATATACATATAAATATACTCTTAATGCGCTTAATCATACAAATAATTATAAATTTACAAAAATATATATGTTTACGTTAGTCTTGATCCACGATTTAAGCATCAAGGACATTTGCCTACTAAATTTCTCCGCCATATAATTAAAATAGCCTCTTTGTATAACCACCATAGTAAGGTCTTGGTGTAATAAAATAAATGATAATCCTTAACAGTCGCCAGTAATAAATATGAAAATCTCTCCTCCAATTTTAAAGTCGACCAGACTGGCAATAATTTATTTAAAAAATTTTAGTTAAATTACAACGTTTCGGCTGTCATTGCAGCCCTTTTCAAGTAATCTATGAACAATTATATACATATAAATATACTCTTAATGCGCTTAATCATACAAATAATTATAAATTTACAAAAATATATATGTTTACGTTAGTCTTGATCCACGATTTAAGCATCAAGGACATTTGCCTACTAAATTTCTCCGCCATATAATTAAAATAGCCTCTTTGTATAACCACCATAGTAAGGTCTTGGTGTAATAAAATAAATGATAATCCTTAACAGTCGCCAGTAATAAATATGAAAATCTCTCCTCCAATTTTAAAGTCGACCAGACTGGCAATAATTTATTTAAAAAATTTTAGTTAAATTACAACGTTTCGGCTGTCATTGCAGCCCTTTTCAAGTAATCTATGAACAATTATATACATATAAATATACTCTTAATGCGCTTAATCATACAAATAATTATAAATTTACAAAAATATATATGTTTACGTTAGTCTTGATCCACGATTTAAGCATCAAGGACATTTGCCTACTAAATTTCTCCGCCATATAATTAAAATAGCCTCTTTGTATAACCACCATAGTAAGGTCTTGGTGTAATAAAATAAATGATAATCCTTAACAGTCGCCAGTAATAAATATGAAAATCTCTCCTCCAATTTTAAAGTCGACCAGACTGGCAATAATTTATTTAAAAAATTTTAGTTAAATTACAACGTTTCGGCTGTCATTGCAGCCCTTTTCAAGTAATCTATGAACAATTATATACATATAAATATACTCTTAATGCGCTTAATCATACAAATAATTATAAATTTACAAAAATATATATGTTTACGTTAGTCTTGATCCACGATTTAAGCATCAAGGACATTTGCCTACTAAATTTCTCCGCCATATAATTAAAATAGCCTCTTTGTATAACCACCATAGTAAGGTCTTGGTGTAATAAAATAAATGATAATCCTTAACAGTCGCCAGTAATAAATATGAAAATCTCTCCTCCAATTTTAAAGTCGACCAGACTGGCAATAATTTATTTAAAAAATTTTAGTTAAATTACAACGTTTCGGCTGTCATTGCAGCCCTTTTCAAGTAATCTATGAACAATTATATACATATAAATATACTCTTAATGCGCTTAATCATACAAATAATTATAAATTTACAAAAATATATATGTTTACGTTAGTCTTGATCCACGATTTAAGCATCAAGGACATTTGCCTACTAAATTTCTCCGCCATATAATTAAAATAGCCTCTTTGTATAACCACCATAGTAAGGTCTTGGTGTAATAAAATAAATGATAATCCTTAACAGTCGCCAGTAATAAATATGAAAATCTCTCCTCCAATTTTAAAGTCGACCAGACTGGCAATAATTTATTTAAAAAATTTTAGTTAAATTACAACGTTTCGGCTGTCATTGCAGCCCTTTTCAAGTAATCTATGAACAATTATATACATATAAATATACTCTTAATGCGCTTAATCATACAAATAATTATAAATTTACAAAAATATATATGTTTACGTTAGTCTTGATCCACGATTTAAGCATCAAGGACATTTGCCTACTAAATTTCTCCGCCATATAATTAAAATAGCCTCTTTGTATAACCACCATAGTAAGGTCTTGGTGTAATAAAATAAATGATAATCCTTAACAGTCGCCAGTAATAAATATGAAAATCTCTCCTCCAATTTTAAAGTCGACCAGACTGGCAATAATTTATTTAAAAAATTTTAGTTAAATTACAACGTTTCGGCTGTCATTGCAGCCCTTTTCAAGTAATCTATGAACAATTATATACATATAAATATACTCTTAATGCGCTTAATCATACAAATAATTATAAATTTACAAAAATATATATGTTTACGTTAGTCTTGATCCACGATTTAAGCATCAAGGACATTTGCCTACTAAATTTCTCCGCCATATAATTAAAATAGCCTCTTTGTATAACCACCATAGTAAGGTCTTGGTGTAATAAAATAAATGATAATCCTTAACAGTCGCCAGTAATAAATATGAAAATCTCTCCTCCAATTTTAAAGTCGACCAGACTGGCAATAATTTATTTAAAAAATTTTAGTTAAATTACAACGTTTCGGCTGTCATTGCAGCCCTTTTCAAGTAATCTATGAACAATTATATACATATAAATATACTCTTAATGCGCTTAATCATACAAATAATTATAAATTTACAAAAATATATATGTTTACGTTAGTCTTGATCCACGATTTAAGCATCAAGGACATTTGCCTACTAAATTTCTCCGCCATATAATTAAAATAGCCTCTTTGTATAACCACCATAGTAAGGTCTTGGTGTAATAAAATAAATGATAATCCTTAACAGTCGCCAGTAATAAATATGAAAATCTCTCCTCCAATTTTAAAGTCGACCAGACTGGCAATAATTTATTTAAAAAATTTTAGTTAAATTACAACGTTTCGGCTGTCATTGCAGCCCTTTTCAAGTAATCTATGAACAATTATATACATATAAATATACTCTTAATGCGCTTAATCATACAAATAATTATAAATTTACAAAAATATATATGTTTACGTTAGTCTTGATCCACGATTTAAGCATCAAGGACATTTGCCTACTAAATTTCTCCGCCATATAATTAAAATAGCCTCTTTGTATAACCACCATAGTAAGGTCTTGGTGTAATAAAATAAATGATAATCCTTAACAGTCGCCAGTAATAAATATGAAAATCTCTCCTCCAATTTTAAAGTCGACCAGACTGGCAATAATTTATTTAAAAAATTTTAGTTAAATTACAACGTTTCGGCTGTCATTGCAGCCCTTTTCAAGTAATCTATGAACAATTATATACATATAAATATACTCTTAATGCGCTTAATCATACAAATAATTATAAATTTACAAAAATATATATGTTTACGTTAGTCTTGATCCACGATTTAAGCATCAAGGACATTTGCCTACTAAATTTCTCCGCCATATAATTAAAATAGCCTCTTTGTATAACCACCATAGTAAGGTCTTGGTGTAATAAAATAAATGATAATCCTTAACAGTCGCCAGTAATAAATATGAAAATCTCTCCTCCAATTTTAAAGTCGACCAGACTGGCAATAATTTATTTAAAAAATTTTAGTTAAATTACAACGTTTCGGCTGTCATTGCAGCCCTTTTCAAGTAATCTATGAACAATTATATACATATAAATATACTCTTAATGCGCTTAATCATACAAATAATTATAAATTTACAAAAATATATATGTTTACGTTAGTCTTGATCCACGATTTAAGCATCAAGGACATTTGCCTACTAAATTTCTCCGCCATATAATTAAAATAGCCTCTTTGTATAACCACCATAGTAAGGTCTTGGTGTAATAAAATAAATGATAATCCTTAACAGTCTGGTCGACTTTAAAATTGGAGGAGAGATTTTCATATTTATTACTGGCGACTGTTAAGGATTATCATTTATTTTATTACACCAAGACCTTACTATGGTGGTTATACAAAGAGGCTATTTTAATTATATGGCGGAGAAATTTAGTAGGCAAATGTCCTTGATGCTTAAATCGTGGATCAAGATTAACGTAAACATATATATTTTTGTAAATTTATAATTATTTGTATGATTAAGCGCATTAAGAGTATATTTATATGTATATAATTGTTCATAGATTACTTGAAAAGGGCTGCAATGACAGCCGAAACGTTGTAATTTAACTAAATTTTTTAAATAAATTATTGCCAGTCTGGTCGACTTTAAAATTGGAGGAGAGATTTTCATATTTATTACTGGCGACTGTTAAGGATTATCATTTAGTAATAATATAATTAATAAAATATTTTCTCTTGATTAAGAGAATTAAAACAAATTAAGTAAAGCGTATTATTTGTTGTTTTGATTTAATATGATTTCAAAGTATATCATATAAAACATACATTATTTATGATAATATTTTGCATAATACAACCTTAATAACATAAGCTTTATAATTGCAGGATTTTGTCGATTTTTGCATATTTAATGATATTGTTGTCGCGGATATACATATTTTATAATTTATGAATATATTCTTGTCATTACATATGTATGTATTTGTGTGTATGTATATGTGTATTGAGTACTATACTGTAATATAAATTACATTTTAGATAAATCAAAGCGACGCGCATCAAGTAGTCCTACAGGATGTACAACCCAATCATACTGGAAAATATCGTTGCGAAGTTTCTGGAGATTCCCCTTCGTTTAACACTGTAATGGTTCATGGTTACATGCACGTAGCAAGTGAGTATATTGAGAAAAATATTTTGTATTTAAATAAAATATAATATACGACGCCCAGCAGTGTAGGTGCGGCTGATGAGTAAACACAGATTCCTATGAATTCTAACAAAATAAATTAAAGGAGTAAAACTTAAAGTAAGGCTCATATTTATGAATACAATATAATAATATATTGTAGAATAATAATTCTTTTTTCGATATGTTGCAAAATAATCAACCGAACTTAATTGATAAATTCCAATAGAATAAAGTGTTTAGCAAAATAACATTGCAGCATTAGTGGAAAATATATAAGGAAAATTTTTAAAGAAATTTAAAGCAATTTTATATACTTATAACAATTTGTAAATCTAAAAAAAATAGCTGGAAAGAAAATTTAAACAAAATTTTGTTAAAAAATCGCGATTAAAAATGTAATTTAAAATAGAATTTTAATTTTTCTATTTTATGTTTTTACACACACATACACACACACTCACACATGTGTGTGTGTGTGTGTGTGTGTGTGATCTCCAAGTGAATGAATACATCTCGTGATATCGAATTTTCATTTCGCGTCGCACAACATAAACAAATTAATCTCGAATGTACTCGTATATCGCTTGTATATACTTTTTGTAACATTTTTGCGACGAGTTTTTCGCAATTTTATAGCGCGTTTATATACACAAATGTAATTTGTTATTTCCAAAAGACACACAATAGCAAATACACAAAAATATTTTTTTTGCAAAGACTTATCGAATCTGTTAATGGTTTCCATTAGCTTTATTCTTTACAAGATATATAATAGTATTAAATCACAATAATAATATTAATAATAACAATAGTAATTTATAATAACATTTATAATCATTCAATAGTGTCTTTTTAATAGCTTTATGGATCTTAACATATTTGAATTTATAAGATTTATAGCGATAATGAGATTGGGATAAATTTCGAACTTTATAGTATTCGAAAAATAATTTTATGAAATGATGAATAAGATATATGGTTCATATCTATATTTTCTCAAATATATACTGATACTCTGTCACAGAGAAACTACAACATTACAGATAGCTTTTCAGCAGCTTCTTACGAGACGACAAAAAGCCAGCGTCATTAGCCTTGATAACAGCACGCAATAAACCTGTCTGCAAGACAGAATTTTTCGATTGGCGATGCTTATTGAATTCTGCGCCCATCCCATCTTCCGATACGTTCGAGCTAAAAAAGCGTGACAGCCGCCACTAATTGTGCCATTTAACGCCATCAAAGCGTTAAATGGATATCGTTAATTTATAACTACTATTCTATCGGCTATAAATGTTGTTTCGGCAGGCGCGCACGATCGTTTCGTATATAATTCCGTTTGTAACGCGAATAATTGCTGCGACCAATCTGCCGCGAGACAGGGTTTTTTGCGGGATTCTTCATGTATAAGTGACATCTATTCCACACGAGCTGTGTTGGGGGGATGCATTGTTAAAATTCAATAAAAACATTTCATCATCTCGTTCGAGAGCAACGGAGGAAGGGGAACAACGAACGGGGTACATGCGAGGGTCCGTGATGAATCGCGGATTCGGTCGTGACCCGTTAAACTTTTTTCGGCCGCTTTTACCCACGACTATTCTCTTCTCGTGCTGCCGGATACGCTCTTTCTGTTTCTCCTGAGACGGCATCTTTCGCGCGCGAGCGTCTTTCATTATCGTCGTTGATTATCCTACATGGTGACTAGTATTGTCACCGTAATCGCGCCCAATTAAAACGCAGTTAGGCAAGGAGAGAGAGAAGAAGAAGAAGATCGTAGACGAGGCAAAAGAGATGAGAAGGCGAGCGTGGAAAGGAAGGAGACCGAAGGAGAGGTCTTGTTCCCAGCGTTCCTCTTTACTACCGCTGCTGCATCACCATCGTGCGTCGACCTAACGACGCCACAAACACGGCAGCGATCCCCCTTTGAAGAGACGAGGTGATTGCCTCTTCTTTCCGATCACGGATCGCTCGTAAAAGTTCGATACTGTGCTCGAATCTCGCATTGTATCTCCCTCTCGCTAAGGAACAATCAACGGACACATCGTCTCTCATCTTGTTCCTTTTGCCCGATTCTCACGAGACTGGTCGCGATTATCCCGTTCCATACGTTGAAAATGGTAATATTCCTCCGGCCTTGTCCTTGAGACTACTCGCGGAGAAGATCGCGAGAAAGGAACGGCCCAAAGCGGAAATTGTTGCGGAGAAGTGAAACAATTCCTTGACAGTTTACCGGGTCGCCACCGTTGCTGCCTACCGGCGAAAAGGAATTTCTTTTTGCAAACGTTATAATGATCCCCCGACAAGACACATTATATATGCACATATAAATTATATTAATATTTGAAATATTAATATAATTATATTAACATTTTAAATATTAATATATTTATATTATAATTACCATATGAGAGAGATTTCCATGTCTCATAAAAATTATTATACAGTAATTAACAAAATATTATACATATATGTACATAGCTGCAATATTGTGTAATGTATGCATAACATATTACATATATATATATAATAGATATAACAAAGTGATCAGAAATTATTTTATCAATATACATAGAAATAAATGACTATTGTTCTACTCGACAGAAAAGAATAATGAAAATAATAATTTATATGATATTGATAATTATATACATATGTAGTTTTTATAATATAAAATTAAAATTGAAGAAATAAATTATGTAGTATTTACCAATAAGCATATAATCCATAACTATGTATATATGAAGAATCTCACAATCAAACTGATACATGGTATGTCTTACAAAGAGTTCCGCTACACTGCTCGAGCCAATTGTCAAGATCATGAAATAGGGCAAGAAGTACCATTCGCAATTTCTGTGTGGCATGCTTTTTGATACTGCGAACAATAAACCTGGTCACAAACTATCACGACGCTTTTGCGGTACCAAGGCTGTTTTTGTAATCGATAAAATACGAAGGAACCAAACGTAACAATAGCCGAGAACGTGTCCGTTACTTGCAACAAAAACCGTATTGGATCACAAATTGCATTCAATTGTTACTGTAAGGTATTTTGAATTTTAGGTCTGCCCGACGGCGATCCTCAGCTGCTGGTCGAGAAAACGCGATATGCAGTCGGTGACACTGTACGTGGAAACTGCACTGTACCATCGGGAAATCCTCCGGCTAACGTGACGTGGACTGTCAATGGGATACCGGTAGGTTGATAAATGTGAAAAGTGTCAGGGGATCTCTCCGCGCCTCGTTTTCGCTCTGTTTCATCACAAATTACATATTACATATTAATACAAATTACAGTTATTAATTTGACTTGTGTCTCGTTCCTGTTTATTCGTAGATCAATTAAATTCCTTTCGTATAATTATATTAAATGAATATTTGCAACCAAATTTTTAATTAAAGTAAATAATCATCATTGCCATTTCTGAAAGTGAATAATAAATAAATGAGATCTAATTATATCGTATGTGATATACAAAAATATATATCTTTAAATCTGAAATGAAAAGGGAGAATTAAATTCATTTCAATCATTTCGTACGCTGTTCGAAAAATTTCGAATTGAGAAGCACTGTTTCATGTTTATTAATTCCATCCAATAGACCATTCAGTCGAATGTAATGTAAAGTTGATAATAACGATTTTAAAGTATGCTATTATTTTGTCCACTTGATATTTCACTTTGTAGTCTATTGTTTCTTTCTGTGCTTGTCATTGCCACTGATGACAACGTCGTCACGTCCGTCGGTTTGAAAAGTTCTTCCTATGTCTGATTACAACTTGCTTATTCTACTGACTCCAACATCGCGTTTACAAATACCGTTCTAACACCGCGAAACATCCTTAATAGTTGTCACATATTTTTATACATTTCTGTATGACGTATAAACCTATTTTGCAACAAGATTACTTTATTGCCTGAAACTCTGTGCAAATATCAATTTCAAAAAATTAAACTTTTCTCCGTTTAGCTATTTTTTCCCGAAAATATATCGTATAATAATGAGAAAAAAAGAGAGAAATATTAAATTTCTACACAATGTACACTACAACAGTCTACAATCTACGATTGTTATGAACAGCATCACCAAAGAATAAAACATTCCAATTAATTAAAATATTTGTTTAATATTTTTCATAAATTTTTAATTACCATGATAATCGTTAAATAAATTTGTATTTTTGCTGCACCTTTTATAAAGTTTTACGTTACCACTCTATTTATTTTTCCATTAAAAAAAGATCCACACCTCCACGTTGTCTTGATCCTTAGCTTTATTAAAATAAGAATAAGTTGGTGTCAATATATAATCTTTTTTTTGCACTCATTATATTGTATGTGTACAAATTGTTTCGTAGTATTAACTAATCATACACTATATATATCTTATAACAAAGATATAATAGACTTCTTCATTTATTAACGCTAATTTAATCTCTCACCTTGTAGCATTAACTATCTAAAAGTAGTTATTTTCGAAGACTCTATATATTAATTATATTAATTTATCAAGAAAAGTAAGACAATTCTTCTTGTAAAATATTGAAATAATTTTCTATAATGATAAAAGAAAATATTTTAATTATTTCCGTTCATACATTCACTATGTCAACATCTACATTTATAAAAGAGAATCTGTGTAAGAAATATTTTTTTAAAAGATAATGCATATAAAAATTATATAACGCTATTTTAAAACATACCTATCTATCATTAAAATACCAACACGATTTAAAAGTTAAACATTTTCTTTTCTTTTTTTTTTTTTTTTGCTTCGTGTGAATCTAAAAATTTAATCGCTGTCGGAAAGCAATGGGGATAGGCAAGATTCTACCTTCCCATTAAAGGAAATTGCTTATACGTGATCGACTGCATTAAGCGTTAAATGTAACGTCGCAGACGATCTTCACGACGAGCCCAGCCTGTCAGCCTAGAGGCCTCAACGGCGAAACAGCACGTGTTCTCGTGCATAAATGTAGCATGTGATAGGCACACGGGAGAGATCTCGCGTGGAAATCTCGTTTTACGGAAACAACAGGAAACGCGATGACAATTTACGACAGCCTCTCGTATGGACGACATCGGGTACTGAGAAAATCGGTAAAATCGCGTTCGTTTGATGCTCCCGTTACGCCGGATATATACGAGACGATACAGGAAATGATAAAGAATCTTTTTATTCTCGGGGATCATCTTCTGGTCAGTGTCGACATGCACTAAATAAACTTCATTTAATCCGGAACTCTCACTTTGATATAGCGAACCGGTAATCTAAGACGCTTTACGATGAGTATCTTAAGAATCCGATAAACATCATCGTTAGAGCCGTATGTACCGCAAATCAAATCATTTACAGCTGCTAAAAAGAGACGCGTTATCGTGTAAACGAGCGGCAGGAAGCAGTTAAGAATAAACTGGTATCTCGTCGCTCTATTCTGTTCTTTCGCAAGCTTTAATCATCCTCGAGATATGTCCAGATGCCTGCCTAGTTACCTAATCTACTATCTGCGTTTTCTCAGCTAATTAATTCTTTAGAAGACTCGTGTAACTAATCAGCACAAAACTATGTGACCGTTTGAAAAATTAAAACGGTGTCATTCTTGATTAAATTAGATTTAATTCCATATAACATATAACAATAAAACTGGGTCACTTTCAAGAACAGTCTCTCTAGAAATATGTAATTCTTATTAGTTGCAATAAATAAATAGCTTAACTGCATAGTAACTATGTCGCAAAACTAGCCTCTATGTATATCACATAAAGTTAATTAATTTTAGAGGCTCGTAAATCATCATGTCCTCTTAATGCATCTGTTATGCTTGAAGAAAGTTACAAGTAGTGCATATCATCGCCGAGCTGAAAATTAACGAGTGAATGGAAATCAATAATTATATGTGACTTGTATATTTAAAGTTATCTTACGTGCTATTCTGTAAAATAGATGATTATGTCTAGATTTTATACATATAAAAAAATAATAACTATTTTATTGTATATATATGCATCACATTTATATTTACAATATAAAACGAGATTGCAGAAGCTAAAAGGAATAAAGAGAAACAATAAATGTTTAAAATTATGTAATGACAATATATGTAGTATATTCTTTATTACAGGTAAATTCGAGTTTTATCATGAACATCACGCACAAAGTTGGCGACAATCAACAACAAGTGACGATTGCTGGATTGGATTTTGAAACGATGCAAGATAATTTCAGCAACAGCAGATTACACATCATTTGTCACGCTAATGTCTTTCATCTGTATCAAAAAAAGGCTGAGATATTTCTGAAAGAAGAACGTCCAAGACTGGCATCTGTATTAGGAACACGAGAATCTTCCTACACTGGTAGGTATATATGTATATGTATGTGTGTGTGTGTGTGTGTGTGTGTGTGTGTGTGTGTGTGTGTGTGTGTGTGTGTGTGTGTTCGTAGCTTACTTTTTCATTATCTGATATGTAAATAAATGTATACGTAAATTTTAAAATAAATATGAAAAATATATGGAAGAAATTCATATCCCATAAAAATTTAATATATGTGTATATATTTTTGATGAAAAAAATTGATGTAAATATTTTTTAGCTTTAGCTCTTTTCTAATAAAAAAGAGAAAATTAATTTTGATCTTTCAATTTATTCATATATTATATTTTTGTTGCAGGTAATGCTGCCAAAAGACCTGTAGAATACTTTTACATCACTGCCATAACTACATTATTGCTATGCAGCCTAAGATAACATCAATGAGTCCGCAATACATTTTATGCGCATGATTGTATCGAAAAGGAGGAAATAAATCGTTTGTAAAATTTTGAAATTATTAAATGGAATAAAATCTGAGGAGAAATCTTTTGTTGAAATAAATACCGAGCGTATGTTATTCGTGTAAATAGGATAAATAAAAATTTAGTGAATTATCTATATGTGTATGCGATCTGCCCTTCGGGCGAATTTGTAATCCAATAAATAACATGTCATATTATTATATAATAGACCGACGAATTTTACGCCAAACTATCAACGATTTATTTGAAAAGACATTATACTGTCTTTTTTATCCTCTGACGATAATTTTTTGATACCTCCTCTGTAACATTGTAGCCAACACAATGTGTCCTGTCATGTTTATAGGTAAACACTGTTATTGTTTATAAAAGACATTTTATTTCAATGAAATATGAATAAACAATTCATCTTCGTTATTTAGATTTTCAATATTAATCTATAACACTACCTATCTCCTTTAAATTCCTTACTTTTAATACAAAAACCAATTATATAGCACTTTAAAGTTTTTTAATAAATAACTTTAATATATTGATCTTGTATATAAAAGCAATTATTAGTTATAAGAAAAAAATTGCTTAATAAAGAATATATTCTAATTTACTCTAATAATATAAACACATTTATGTAAATACATAACTACACAATCACAGTAATTATATAAACATTTCTGTACAAAAATTCATCATATTGATTCATTAAATAGATGAAATCGAATAAATGAAATATGATAGGATGTTACAAAATAAATACGACTTGATTGTACTAAATAAAACCATCTTATTACTATTATACATGGAATCAGTTGCATTCATATGTAATATCTTAAAGCCATTGATTTTTTTAAACAAAAATTTCCAAATAGAAATGAATTATTTATGATGAAACGATGTATATAAAATAAAATCGTCCAATTAAAATTATCACTTTCGAAATCCTAATCCACGATCTTTTTCCCAATGAGGTTGAATCTTTGTATCTATTATATCTATTGTTGCTTCTCTCAATTTGGTTCTTTCAATTCCAACTTGCTGGATCTTTTCCATTTGCTCCGTCACATAATCCACTTTTCTCTTAAAATAGTCCTTTGCTTCTTCAACATTTTTCTTTGCATAATAACCAGTACCAATGTCTACAATCACATTATTTGCTTCTGCCAGTTTTCCAGTCACATACATAGAACCTGTCAAAGGTACTAGTATTTCGTTGCCTGTAAATACACAAAAAATTATATATAACAAATTATATGACAAATAATATGATTATTACTTTTGTGCTCAGAAATTATAATACTTATATTTATACTTTAAAAACAAGTCTTTTTATATAAAAATTACATTACAAATTTAAATTTAAATGGACTAGTAATAAGAGCCAATAATAAATAAACTAAACAAAACAATGTTCTGAAAATGGTACAATTTCAAATTTCTTTGTATATAATTTAATTTCTTAAAAGATTAATAAGGTTCTCACAATTTAAAATACAAATTTAAATTTCAACTAGGGATAGATGCGAATAATAGTACGTCAGTTTCAATGAAAAATTAATTTATCACCACAACTGATTAGTTGTGCACAGATTAAATTTTTCTTGATGCAATATCAAGTAATTAAAAAATTTCGACTCAAGATTTTATATTGATAAATTCGTTTTATCCTTTTAAAGAAGAATAGACAAGAAAATTAATTTTCATTGAAATTGATGTACTACGCATTTGGCTCTTACTAGCCTATTGAAATTTAATCAAATTGCGAGAATTTTACTAATTTTCTTAAATTAAATTGCACATACACAGAAATTTACAATTATATTATTATTTTTAACATTGTTGTTTTATTTTTATAAGGAATATCTAATATCCACGCATTTAATATAATCACATTTCCTAACCTCTCACCAAGGAGCCTTATTAGAAGCTACCTACCGTAAAACTATGTGCACTTGAAAAAGTGAAATTTATATCTCACCTTCGGCAGCCTGCGTAATTTTTTCAAGACAAGCCCCTGATTCTTGAAATCTGCTTTGCGCGATCTTTAAAGTATGCAAAGAATCCTGAAACACTTCGAGCTCCTTGTCTAATTGTTGTTTAAACATTGTCAGTTGTTGGATGTTCAAATTCGGCAGAGTTGATAAATTGATCACCTCGTAGGGAGGTTTCACGGTAACCTCTTCTGACATCTTGATGTAATTATTGTCAAAGATTATTATTCTAGAGGTATATGTTGTGAGACGACTCTCAATTGATCCCAGGGCTCGTCGAATCACCAAACACGGGCAACGAAACATTTATTCGTCGAGGCTCTTCACTCAACTTATTCAGCCACCGGGTGGCGTCACAATACACACACAACACACGTGTCATCTCGCGACAGGCGAGATAATTATTCAAAAAATTTATCTCCCGACAGTAACGTTATATCATAAGAGCAAACATTTATCTATATATGATAATTTAATAATTTTAATATCTAATTGAATAAAGAAATTTAGTATCTAATTAAATTTCCTTCATAATAAATGTGCATTAAAAAAATAAATATATATTATTATAATTATTATATTAGAGTACAAGACTTTTATAATTTTAATAATACATATTTTATTTTATTGTTGAAAATACTTCACCTATCGTATTTTCAACAATAATACAAATAAGGACAGTTATTAATAGTTAATATTATATTTTATTTTATCTGTAGTTAAACAAAATCAGAGGATGAGATTACTATATCCATATGTATTCACTATATATATATATAATAATTTTTTTTACTATTAATAATTATCTAATTATAATAAAGTTTAATGTAATATATCTTTTTCAAAATAATAATAATACATATAATATAAAACTATTTTTAACTTTATTTTAAGAAAATTGAAAGAATAAAATATTATATAATTATATATTTATAATATTAATATTAATTTATATAAATTTGTTTTTAATTATAATTTACTAACCTCATAGTTGCTTCGCCGTTGTCCGATGCCTCCCTGGGCCTCCTCTTCCATTTCCTCTTTTGTTCGTACTTTTATAGCGTCTTTTTGGCACTTATACACAGCACATTCGCGAAAGTACGATTGCGCGCGTGCATTAATCAACAAAATAAAATAATCGCACGTTAATCTCCTGACGTTAATCGTAGGCTCTGTAGTATATATACTTATAAGGTTTTAATCGCGCGATATACTTTGTGCAGAAGTCTCGACAATCGTACGTAACTTATTTTCATACGTGGGCACTCCCGCTTTCAATTGTAAATATATTTTATACGCTTTATTAATTATATGCGACACATATATTTGAGAGAACAGCACGCGACAATTAAAATTATACGAAGCTACGATTCGCGTTGCGCTGCGCGACGCGCGAAATTTACGCGGCATGATGCCACAGTGATGACAACTGTTACAAAATACGCAGGAAGTCGTCGCAGTGATGCAAACTGTCAAATTAGAAATATTGAAAAGATCGATCAACATAGAAAGCGCTTTACTATTAGACGTGACAAGTCTCTCGAATATTTTGATCAATCAGAAGAAAGAAATATTTTCCTCTTGCTTCGCAAACACATTCGAGACAAGAGAAAAATGTTTCTTTCTATGTGGAGCGCTTCATATATATTTTTGAATTCTTTTGTAAACGCGATTATCAAGGTATAATTTGTATTAAACTATATTTATCGATTTTTAAATTAGTGATAATAGACACAAAACTGTATAAAGAAAATAATAAAATACTAGTCAAAAAAGTGAATACTTGAAAGAGCACTCGCTAGTATGCAAATATTGATATCATATTTTCATTAACATTAAAATATGATTTTATTAAGTGATGCATATAATACATACATATATACATATATTATATATGTATATTATTTTATTTTTAAAAACTATTGTTTAATCTTGTTGCATTATAGATAAAAGATTTCGAAATTTTCAAAATATATTATTGAAATAGCGAGAGAAAGCAAAACTGTATACTAAATATTATATTATATTTTGATGAAAAGTTACAAAGTTATAAAGCGTATATAGCATCAAAGTAATGCGTTACATTCGAAACAATGCATAAATACATTAGTATTGGATATACAGTGAATACAGATAACAATTTTTATTTTACATTTTTATAATTGCATTATTTTTTATCTTGTATATATTTTAATTATAAAATATCAATCGCACTTTTTAGCTTCTAGATAATTGATATCGAATATTCTATTAATTATATAGCAGAAAATATATATTATGACATTATTACATTATACATATAAAAAACGCGTATATAAGAATTATATTTATGGTCCTATAGTTTTAATTATTAAATTAATTGAAGAGAATAAGCGAGAGAAATTCTCTCTTATTATACTTCGTAGCTGATAAAGTTAGGATAGAATTAGCATATACATATAAAACGTGCAAAGAAAGAATGTTCACTGTTAGATAAATAATAATATGCTTTTTATTATTGTTCATATTTGTAAGCTGCAATATTTTTATCGCAAGTTTTAATTACACTGATAAATATGAGAAATTATTGCCGCTATAAATTCAGTTTTGCAGCAAACGTTGTAGCACTTTTCACCTCCTTTCTTTTATAATCGTATAAGTAATAATTGATAGTAATAGTATAACAATGCAATCATACAAGAAATTTTATACGTATAATTAAAACTTATTTAAATGCACGTTGCAGATTATTTCTATCCACCCCCCCAATTGACTGTAAAAAAACACCTTATTTTTTTTATTAATAAATATAGATGATTGAAAAATATAAAAAAAATAAATATATTTTTTGCAACATTTATAGTTTATCTTTAATATATTATTGACAAATTTAAACAAAACATTTGCCTTAAAATATCTAATCGATTTTAAAGTTTCTTTGGTTAACTTCTTAAATTAAAATACGCAAACCTATATTACAAGATGAAACTTCAAATAATATTTTGAAATGTATATCTTTTTTCTTGATTAAGTACATAAATCTTTATAAATAATTTATAAAAGATACAGCTATATTAATTTATATTTGCTTAAATTGTTTATATTTTGTTAAAAACTATTATTTATAATGCTACTACAAATTACAATTACTTATTTATATATTATATATCATATATTGTACATTATATAATATTAAAATAATTATATAAAACACATTGGTATACCTAATTAATAAATTATTTAATGCATTTCTAATTGATATTTCAAATTTATATTTTTATCTATTGTTGAAGAAGCTTGGAAGATATAATGAAAAATAATCTGAATTAAATTTTAATTACCTATTAAAAGTAAAATTCAAGAGCGTTTACGTGAAGGATATATACTTAAATCTGAAATCTCCATAATTAAATTCTTTGCGGAGACATCATAATTAAAAATATTTTTGTAGGTATATTTAATTATATATACGACTTTGCGTTTTTATTACTATTAATTATTTATAAAATAATATTTACTATATATATGTATATATACTGGTTAAAAAATTATTGCAACACGCAATTAATATCAAAATTTCGCGTAAATTCAAATAAGTGTATCCCCGCGAAAAATGATCGTATTTGAACAATTTTTTTTATTTTAAAGGTGAAGTCTCTACTTTAAGAAACTTTTAATTTTCTTAAAGTAGAGACTTCACCCTTTAAAACAAAAAAAATGTTCAAATACGATAATTTTTCGCGGGGATAAACTTTAAAAAATTATATGTTAATTTTATATAAAAGAATTTTTTAAATAATATGTTAACTTTTTAATTAAAACAATGAATTAATTTTTTATTAAACCAATAAATAATTTTCTTTAAAGTACTAAAAAATATATGCCAAGCAAATAAAAATATAAAAAAATTATCAGTTTTTTTATTTATGTGCATTTACTTATTTATAAACATGATTAAAACTTTTTGGCGATTCTGTGTTATATAATATTAATATATACAGGAGCTGCGCACAATAAAAAGAAACAGGTAATAGAGGACGGAAAACATGAACAGGAAATTGAAAACAGCTCAATATAAAACATATAAAATGTAATTTAATAACACAGAATAGAAAAATGCCATTACTTCATTTTCCTCTTCTGTTCCTTTATTTTGCGTTGCTAAATTATATTTTATATGCGTTTTACTTTGAATTATTCCCTATTCTTTATTCTCTATTCCTTATTTTTTATTGTGCGCTGCACTAAAACAATAATCACAAAAATGAAATGAATGAAAGCAAATACACACGCTGACGTACGTGTATGGAATAAAATATTTAATTAAAATTGTTATAAAGTTAGAGAATAAGGATCATTTATTTAGCAATTAAATAATATATCTAAATATAAACGGAATAATTAATTTATTATTTGCTCCTGCATTAATTACAGAATTAATATATTATAATTTTACTTCTCCACATTTATTCTAATCCGAATTAAAAGAACAAAGTTTTAAAAGTAAACAGTCTCCTAAGAACGTTCAGACTACGAACATTACTGTCGAGCCAGGATATGCAGGAGACTCACACTTACACTAGCATTGAAACTTTCAGTTTCATGGTATGTTAAAAAGTTTTTTTCACTAACTCTAACGTGCAAACAAACCGTAACGAACATTGTATATATTTTTAGTTATTTTATATTTTTTGACCTACACATCACGCAAGGAACTTATTAATATCTTCGCTAATGTAACCCCTGAAGATAGTCACGTAGAGGACCGAAACGTTTGTAAATTTGAAATATACTAGTTTTCTTGTGCATCATGATTTTTACAACTATCATCCTAGCATTCGCTCATAAGTCTCATCCCTAAACACTGTTAATTTTAATTTTAAAAGTAAAGTATCAATAAATTAAATATCTGAAAATTAAATTGCTGAATATTTTATTCTGTGTATATTATTCCATCTTTTGGAAAATTTATGTCCTAAAAGTTGATCGTAACAAGAATACTTTATTAATTTTTTCTATATTAATATAGATTTTTTAAAAATTAATACTTGTTGACAAATCAGAGAAGAAGACACAATACGTAAAATATTAATCTCATTTATTAATGGTTATTTTAAATTTTCCAAAAGTAAAAAACAATTTTATTTTTGCTTTTAAATTTATTAAGCAATTAAAATTTTTTAAATAATTTTTTCTATAATGTAATAAAAGTATTTTAAGAAGAATATACAATATTATTAGTAATTAAATTTTATAATTTCTTTTAAAATTAATTATAATTCATAACTAAAAAAAAGAAAAAAAATGCAATCTAAATTTATCGTATAGTAAGGAATGTATAAACGCAAGTGTTCAACACCTATATAAA